TTGACATATTGATTTCTTTGGGGAGGGGGGGGCTCTGATTATTTTTGGTGTGTTTTTTCTCAATTATAGATTAATTAACCTGTGTTGTGTTTATCTGATTCCTTTTGACCTATTATATTGTACAAAATTAGACACTTTGCCAGTACAGGTTGTGTAGCAGTGGGTAAAGCATGCAAATTTCAGTTCAGCTGCTGAAGCTCTTTTGTAGCCGCTGAAAGTTTGGGATGTCAGGTCACAGCAGCTGAGAGACACTTACCTGACTGCATCACAGGGCAGAGGGCCTCTGGATTTGCTGCTCTAAGAGCTAAGTAGTTTAGGGCTAATCTTGAGAAGGCCAATTGATTGGCCTCACCACTAAGAGAGCATGTGCTCCTGTCTTTATTTATTGCTGGTGGAGATTATGTGTAAAGGAAGGAGCGTGCAGCAGGACAGTATTCCTCAGAGACCTGCGTGCTCCACCAGTGGGAGGAAAAAACATCTCTTAAACACTACACAAGCTCCTGGGTCTTAGCTTTCTCACAGTGCAGCCCACTCAGGAAAATCTGTGGTAGTCTGGTGGTGAGGCAGAAAGCTGGTTTCTCAGACTTTGATTCAGCGTGTTGATGCTACACTCCAGGCAGTAGTTAGCTTCAACAGTGCCAAATCATGAACAGAGTGACATGTTCAGACTGGAAAAAGCTTTTCTTTGGCAGTGTTGCATTTGTTTTTCTACACATTAGGTAGCGTGTTGAATAGGATTCTATTGAATTTGCATGATATAAAATTGATTTGGAAAATCAAAAGAGAAATGGACAGTCATATCTGGCTTTGACTCATGCAGTATTTTTAGAATCTGAAAGTGCAAGCTTCCAACATTTCTGATTATACTCTCATAAAACAAAAGATATTGAAAGATCAGCTGGCTTAAACAGTATCCCACACTGTTTTTTGTGCCAGCCTATACACTGACTGTCCAGTTTGTTAGCTACGCCTTACTAGTACTGTTAGAGGCATCTTCATGCCAGGTACTGAAAATATTCCTTAGAGATTTTGGTCCATATTGACATGACAGCATCACATAGTGCCTGCATATTTCAGCTCCATCATGTGAATCTCCTGTTCCCAAAGATCTTCTGTTGGACTAAGAGCTGATGAACTTATTGTCCTGTTCCAGAAATAAGTTTGAGACAATATGGAGATGATTAGGAGAGAGAGCATTGGGCTTTTTAAGAACATGGTTTAACACAATCCTGATCAATTAGAGGAGGCCTGATGAATTTTACTGGTATCGATTTTCAAGAAAAAGAGTGATGTGCAGAGCTTTAATAACTACAGAGGGATAAAGTTGATGAATCATACCATGCAGATATAGGACTGATTTTTTTAAAGCTAGGTTAACTTGAGAGTATGACTACATGGCGAGAAAGAGCACTTCAGAAGTTGTGCTGTTTCTCTGTAGAACTAGAGAAGAGGAACTGTGCAGTGGCACATAAGTATGTGAGGGTGGTGCAGGACATGTGTGAGGACAGAGAGACAACGGCGAGGTGTGCGGTAGGAGTTACAGATCAAAGTGGAGGAAGGATTACGTAAGAAATCTGCTCTGAGCCCATTCTTGTTTGCAGTGTTGATGGACAGGTGATGTTAGGCAGGAGATGGATGGCAGAACTAGAAATGTGTATATCAGTGGAACAGATCAAGTAACTAGAGAGGCAAGGCTCATGTGTTTGGACATGTGCAGAGGAGGGATAGTGAATATACTGGAAGAAGGATGTTGAACAAACAAGAGGAAAAGAAGAAGACCACAGAGAAGATCCATGGATATAGTGAAGGCGGGTTGCTGTGACAGAGGACAATACGAGGGATACGCAGAGATGGAGGCAGGTGATGTCCTGTGACGACCCCTAAATGAAGCAAACAATAGAAGAAGGAAAAGTTGCCTTCTTATCAACTTGAAGCAGTCTGGCTATTCTTGTCTGAACTCTAATATCAACAAGACTTTGGCTTCCAGAGAACTACTGCTCACTGGAAATTTTCTCTTTTTTGGGCCATTCTCTGTAATAATAATGGATTGGATTTTATATAGCGCTTTTCAAGGCACCCAAAGCGCTTTACAATACCACTATTCATTCACTCTCACATTCACACACTGGTGGAGGCAAGCTACAGTTGTAGCCACAGCTGCCCTGGGGCAGACTGACAGAAGCGAGGCTGCCATATCGCGCCATCGGCCCCTCTGGCCAACACCAGTAGGCGGTAGGGTAAAGTGTCTTGCCCAAGGACACAACGACCAGGACAGAGAGCCCAGGGATCGAACTGGCGACCTTCCGGTTACAGATGCGATTCCCAACCCCCTGATCCACTGTAAACCCTAGATGGTTGTGTAGCAGTTTCTAAAATACTCAGACCAGAGTTGCTGTCGTGTGATTGGTGTGTTAGATATTTGCTTAAATGAGCAGTTGAATAGGCCTAAGTGGCTAGTGAATGTATTTCAACTACCAATTTATTTGCACTATAAGGCGCACTTAAAATCCTTTAGTTTTCTCAAAAATTGACAGTGCACCTTACAGTGTGCTTTATGTATGAATTCTGGTTGTGCTTACTGACCTCAAACTGATTTTATGTGGTACACGGCGCTCAAAAGGCTGTCAAAAAATGTTTTAGCACAACTTTGTTGAGCTACGAAGCTGCACCACTTGATGGATTGTCGGAGCATTACGGCTACCATAGTCAGGAGCCTCACGGAGTAATCTGGGTCAAAAACTCCATCTTCTTCAGGTCCCAAAGTCAAACGAACTCTGCAGCATCACTGAGAGTTAAAAACTGTCTAAATTCTTTCATCTTTAATAAAATGATCACCATGGCTGCTTTACCAGGTGTAACAATTAAGTTTAACATCTAGGCATCCATGAAAACAGAATTTATGAAATTTAACCGAGTTAGAAGTTAGCAGGGAGTTAGCTCGCTAGCTTCCATCTAAGTATAATACACCATGTTCTGACTGAGAGATTTCTGAATAAATTAAAATGTACAGCTCTGCTATTACTTTCACATAAATGAAGACAGAAAACTAAACAGCATTGACTTTTATAGGGTTGCTGAAGTTGAATGATGTGCTACGTGATGCTAGCAACACAGCTATGTTAGCATAACATAAACACAGTGAAGCTGGAGGATGAACTTTTTCCACTTAATAAAAGTTAACATGAGGGTTCCTGATGGTTAGAGACAAATGTAACCGCATGGTAGGATGCTGTAAACAGACCAAACTTTAGTCAGGAGAACAACTGAGATAATCCATCCACAATAGAGGTTAGTCATTAATATACTGCAACAACATGGGAATAGAGCAGCTGGGAGAGAATTCAACATTAATGAATCAATGGTACGGAAGTGGAAGCAAGAAGAATGAGTTGAGTAAAGTTTGACTTATCAGATTTTTTTTCACTTCATGCGCTTTATAATCCAGTGCGCCTTAGCGTCCGAAAAATTTGGTATATATACATTTATATAGAAAGTAAGGGGAGACTCCTCTAATGGCAAAGAGGGCTAATTAAGTAGGAAAATGACACTATGGCTCACTTAATCCATAATCTCATAAAATCTTCCTGATGAGTTTCTGTACTTGCTAGTTTCAGGGTTTATGTTATACACCTTAAAGGCTCATTTGGTAAAATGCGGCCCCATTTAGAGTAAAATAGGCAAAAAAAGAAGTTGAGGCATTCGGTCACTCAGACCCACTCCACCACAGAGGCTAGAATGCCAAACTAAGGACTGCATTAGTCCCTCCATTAGTTAATGGTTAATTCTATGTTTTATATGCGGTCTCTGTGATCATTTCGTGAAAATGAGAATGAATTTTGGACTTGTTTGTTTGTTTGTTTGAGCTGTTTTTGCATTAGTATGTGGTAATATTAATGGGTGCTGGCTGTGAATTCTGCCACACTATGAGCTTCTTATTAATTCTGCTTTCTGCTTTAATGCCATCCCATATTATTGCCTCAGTCTCTCTTTTTCTTGATCTCTACAGCACACAGAGCACACAAGCAGACATCACAGTGATTATATAGATCACTACATCTGCTCCAATATTAGCTTCTGTTAGCAAGCTGCTGTTTATGCATGCAGCGTGGCACATTTGCTTACAGTTAATTAGCATACTTTGGATATTAATTTTTCCAGAGGGCGTCCCATCTTTTTAGCATCTGATGGATTTGTGCAGGTTGGAAGCTCGGTAAAGTATACCTGGCCCGTCTCAGACTGTGGGAGCCAGTGCCCAGATTGCTAAAGCAACAGCTGTTTGTTCTGCTGTTCTGATATTAATTTTCGATTTTGCATGTTGTCTTACAGTCCCAGCAGTGCTCAGAGTTAAATTAGGAAAATAAATATTCCAAAAATATTGAAAGAGTGTGTTTAGAGACAAACATCCAACATGCTCAACTGCAGATGTGCTTTGAAAAGTCTGAGCCGAGGGGAAGCGTCACACGCTGTGGGGATATAAATGATCCTGGCACGTAGTGGCCGAGTTTACTCGGACTAGGTGCATGAAATTGGACTGTAGCCCTGATTTAGTTATGTTTGTTCCTGGCAGACTGTGACAGATTGGGACTTGTAGTTTTTCCAGTTTGTTATGCAGAGCACTGATGAGGGTTTAATGGGGTTTTTTTTTTTCTTGGTTTCGTGCCTCGTGTGCTGATATTTTATCTGTTACAGATTAATTTAGACCATTATTACATCGCTCGGTCTCCAAAGCATCACAGGTAATCACATTTAACTTCAGCCCCATATACCGCTGTAGCTGGTGTTACCATAAACCTAATAGTTCACTCGATAATGTCTTTTGCTCAGCTCTCTGGTGTATTCTGTAATAAGACCATCAGACGTAAAGGTCAGGCAAGGCATGGCTGGTGCTAAACCATTAAGAATTACCTCTTTGACATGTTTTTGTATTGAGATTATTTATAATATAT